GCTGGAGGCGCTGTACCAGCCCGGCTTTGAGGGCCTCATGGGCGCGCTCCGGGAGTTTGAGACGCAATGGTTGGGTGGAAAAGACGTCGCACGCAAACTGGTACGTTCCCTTGCGCCCCTCATGAATGTAACAGTTACTAACTATCGCAGACCGACCTCTGTATCGACCCGACTGCGTATGGTACTCGCTGGTACCTCACCCTCTTTAACCTCTCGATCCCTTTCCAGGCGCAACTCCGCGTGTGGGACGTGTTCCTGCTCCTCGGTGAGGCGGCTCCTGAGCAGCGACCCATGACGGCCAAGTCTGCTGGGCCGCCGTCGGCAGCACTTCCAGTGATGGGCATTGATATTGTGCACGCAACGAGCGCAGCTCTCATCAGCGCGCTGGGTGAGGTGCTGCTCGATTCCGACTTTGAAAACGCCATGAAGGCGCTGACGTCGTGGATCCCCATCAAGGATGAGGACCTGCTCATGAAGGTCACCAAGGCAGAGTGGCGGGCGCAGCAGGGGAAGAAGCGGGCCTAGAAGGCTCTGCTAGGCGGATAATGCCGTCTGCTCTCCGGTCGGCTCGACTGGGGAGCACGCGGGTGTACGAACCATGATGTCGGTTCACCAAAATGGTAGTCTCGGTGGGAAGGCGGGCGGACTGGGGAGCTTCCATGTCGAAGTGTGCAAGGCGTTGGCGGTGACAGCATCTCCCTCTCTCCCTTTTTCTTATTCCTCTTCTCTCGTTCTTTCTCTGGGTCTGTTGTTGTTTTTTTGCTCTGCGTTTGGCACGCGATACCCCATGTGCGCATGACTTTGCCTAGACGGCTGGACACGTTTTCTTTTGTCGCTTCTTTTGAAGCTTCGGCACGTTGGCTTGAGGCTGTGTTGATACAAGACGGCTAGTCGGGGGGTTGAATGCATAATGTCTAAGTTGAATTGACTATTGAATTCAAGCGATTGGAATTCTGAGCTTTATATATGTGACCTGACCGACGGACGCCCTGAGTAGCTGACCCGGGTGGTACATCTGTCAGCTACAGATCTGATGCTATTCGTATGCCATGTGCTCCGTCTAAAGACTTTCACTGAGCGCCTTCGCCTATACCGTCGCTTATTTTTGCAAACGAACATAGCCCCACTGGTGATGGTACGTCGCGGGTGGAATCATGTTCCATTGGACATGTCCGTTCACTGCATCTCCCACGCTGGACACATCGATCCAGAGGACGTGATTAAGGCTGGTCACCCGGTCATACGGATCAGGCGTTCCTCTAGGCTGCTTAGGATCATCCATGGCTGTTGTTTCTAGTTGGGGCCGTCGTGGTCAGGCCAAGGCGTTTGGCGAAAGTTTCCTCCGGTCCAAGGCACGACACGTTCGTTGCAGACTTGGGACAGAAGTTTTGAAGTTGCACAACTATGCAGTCCGCCCTGCAGAAAGATAGAAGGAGAGGGGGAAATAAGACGGAGAACTTTCGTGATAATAGTCTCAAGACTGGCTGACTGGTTTATCTTAGATACAGGTGGAAGTAACACGCAATTCTGTCGGTTCTATAGTCCTAAATGTTGACTACCTCGGGGCCAGTGGGTCTCTCAGCAACAGACTGGTCTATCGTGCTGTACAGGGTTCTTCGCGGAGTGTCTGGCCAGGACATAGCTCGATAGAGAAGACAGGTACGTCCAGATGCCGGCCCTTGAAACCCTGTGAAGTCTACTCGGACTGCTCTCTCTCCTAATTAGTAGTTGCCATCAAGCACATGTTATCTCAGGCTTGAGGTTATCCGGAGGAGTTCGTCGCGGCTATCTGCTGATCAGTTTTCTAAAGTAGACACTAGGTTCAATGCTTGACAGAAGACAGGGGCCTTTTAATTCTAACAGCAGACTTTCTGAAGTATATTTTGGCTCTTAAATGCCACGGCAACGGCAAGGAGGGTTATAGATAGAGCCTCGTTTACGAGATTGGGTTCATGTACATCTGTGTTTGGCTCTGAGAAGACACCTCCAAGGTTACAGCTCTCGTTGTATCTGACTGCGAATCAGGAGTACATTTTCGTGTTGAACTATCGCCAAAGGCCTCAATACCGTGCAAGAAGACTGAAAACGCAGAGAGAAGGAAATCGAGAAACAGAAGAGCCAAGCGTTCCAAAGCCAACACCATCTACTCTCACTTACCTGCAGCGAGGACATGCCCAAGGAGAGCCATATTGACTTGTTGCTCGAGACTGTTAACATTTCCTCAAGCTCGACTGGGTTCCTGGCCACCAGGATCTCTTCTAATTGTCCCATCCACTGGGGTGTAGGGTGATGCATGATGGACCTCATCACCTCGCGTACCATTCTTGCCTGTGCATCAAGGTCCGCCAGGTCTGGATTTGCGTCTGGTTATTTCCCTTTACATTTCAATTCATATCTCTCAAATGTATTGCGCAACCTGACGCGAGTGCTGGCATTTATAGGGGTATGACTCCAAGAGCAACGGCCCTTCAATAAGTACGTCGCAGCCTCTCGCTGGATACCCAGACCTCGCATCAGAGTCTTCACCAATCATTCTCCCATCTGTCTGCTTCATGCTCCTGTCCGCCACTTGCACCTCTGAACAACAAACAAGTCGAGGCACATGCTCGACTCGGAAGATGCGTGCAGAACTCGTGTCGACCTTCCCTCCCTAGACAAGTGCTCCTGCATGATGAAAGCCTCACATCGAACCCGTTCGTTCGCCCCGCTCGCAGTCATGTAGCCACACCTCGATCCAGCATCCCATGTCCATTAGCATCAGAGACACGCCAGCACTGCATCGCTTGGCCGAGATTGACCGGTCGAACACGATGCATGAGCGCGCGACAACAACATCAAACAAAGCAGCCCCCTTCTCCAGCATCTCAGGGGGGGGACCAGGTTGCCGCCAAACAGGCAGGAACCCAACCCGTTCGAAACCCATCTAGTCCGCAATCTCCGTCGGGATTCCGGGGGCCACCCTTCGCGTCGAGCACACCGGGTGAGGGACAGTTACCCCCCAACCTGGCTTGCCTGGGTAGGTGCTTCGCGCATAATCACCATGCGTGTGGCCCATGTCCGCTTTTGCCAAATTTGACCTCGGAGGGCCCCTCGAAGGCTTTTCCCCCTTGCCGGCAGAGGCGCCCCTCTCCCCGGTCTCGCGACTTGTCCCTTTTCGCCATGAGAAATCACTTCATCTCCAGAGCAGTGCAGTGGGTATGACCTAGGTATTCTGGTTTTTCCCTCTCTGACGTCATGTCGAACGGTGGCCTTCTTTCGCCCAGCCTTCTTCATCCCACGCAGCCCTACCTACGTAAATCCCCCCCAACCTAGTCCTGCTGGCCAGACCGTCCTCCTTTGTTCCACGGTCCCCCCCACCCCCTTCCGCTGCCCTCCCCAGACTCGTTCCCATGCCAGCGGACGTCCCGCGCGCCGTCCCATGTCTCACATTACGTGCACCCCAACAGCCGATAGGCCGCGCCCATGCTAGTCCCCTCTTCTCCCTTCCCTTCCAAGCCCCCGGCGCCGAGAGAAACCAATGAAAAAAAAAGGGTGACGAAGAGGGTCAACCAGGAACACGCTCGTTCCCAGATCTAGGGTTACCGTCAGATGTGCAGACAAAACAGACGTGAGATGTGAGGAGCCCACACGCGGGCGGCAAGTGATCAACGACGAGCCACACACACAGGCCACAACAGTCAGTCCCGTGGCGGCTCCCCCCCCCTGAGTGGTCCGTCTCACGGCCGGTGCCCGAATCCGGCATGTCCCAACGAGCTAGATTCGTGAGTGTATTGTTCGGGTCGCCAGCCGCATGCAATGGCAGTGCAGCAAGCGGGAAGAAGAGCAGACCTCCCAATACAGACGGACCCGGCTACCAGGGAGGAGAGGAAAGACGTAGAGAGAGAGAGAGAGAGAGAGAGAGAGAGAGAGAGAGAGAGAGAGAGAGAGAGAGAGAGAGAGAGAGAGAGACAGGGAGACACAGGGCGCGCGGGCCATTGGAGGGCAATTTCTCGCTCCCTGTGTCGTCTGTCTGCCCGCGAGGTGTGAAAAATCACGGCACACGCCCGCTACGCGCCGAACAGGATCGCCTTGCATCCTCACCGGCCGGGACCCAGAGAACAACAGAACGCACAGAGAAGGCCAATGGAGTGGCTCGAGATGCGCGCAATGCGAATCAAGGCGGGGAAACAGGCGGCCGATTGAAGATGAAGGGCAGAAGAAAAGCCTCCTCAATCAAACAAGCGAAATACGACCCCAGGGTCTGAAACATGTTGTCCCGAAGCTCACCTCCCCCCTTCCTGTAGCCCAAACGGGGTCGAGAGAGAGAGCCTCTGGCATGCCCCAAAGCAGCCTAACCCGAACGGGAGTCAAGGTAGACAGACGAGGGAAGGCAGAAATCCAACGTCCAAAGGGTGGCACAGAAATTGCATCCCCCTGCAGAAACCGGTTTCGGCAAATTTGGCACGGCAGCAAATCAAGCGTGCGCAAGAAATGATCAGTTTAATGTTGATAAGTCTCTGCTCTCAGCGCAGGCTATCGCAATACATGTCCGGAGGCGGCGAGACGGGGACAACCTCCAGGCCCGGCCCAAGCTGTGATCCCCCCTCTCCCCGCCTTCCCTCCTGGTGCGAACCTTCAACCGCGCCGGCCCGGAAAAGGTGATCAAGAACGCCTCTCCAGACCCCCCTCTCGCGCCCGAGAAAAGGGAATGCTGCGTCGGCTGCTGACACCGTGCTTGTTTTGGTTTTCTGAAGTGTGGTAACAAAATGCTGTCGTCAAGCCGCCCCCCTCCCTCCTTCGCACTGCTTCTACAGAACCATGAGAAAGAAGAGTTGGACACGGGAGAACCAAAGAAGAGAAGACAAGAAGAAGGACCTAATAGCTACAATGAAGAAAAGAAAAGACCCTATGGTATGATGTGTTCGAATTCAAATTGAACGCTTGCGACCCCGCGACTGGTCAAAACCGAAGCGTTCCGCCACTCAGAGGCCCCGTTGCCGGCCCGCCTGCCTGCCTGCTCCCTAGATGCGCTGATCGAAAGTACCCCAAGCTGAAAACCTAACACCCTTGTCCTGTAATGATGTATCTTGAATCGAGAGTCGGAGAAGCGCCCCCTAGCCCGCCGGGGGCCAAAGAAAGAAAACGAAAAGGCGGCCATCGAGACCCATGAGGGTTTGTCGAGTGTTGAAAAGGTAAGTAGAATGTGCACCGTAGAATCGAAAAGTGTCGTTACGGTCGTATCCGAAAAGAAATCGCCCCTGTCAACGGGTGTGTCGCGCTCGGCCATGGAGCTGGACAAAAATCGCCGGTTAGCCTATCTGCCATGTCCTGGCTGTTCATTGATCGCCTCGTCTCACGTGGCTACCGATCCTGCGGATCATCTCCCATGCTGCTCGGGACTGCTTCTTCTGCTTTTGACGTTATGTCCTTCCTTTTGATGTGATTGTTGTTGTTGTTGTTGCTGCTGCTGCTGTTGTCGTTGGTACTCTGCCTGTCGCTCCTGATCCTGTCTTGTCTCCGCCGAAGAAGAGGAAGGGTACGTTGACGCGTACGATGGCTCCTCCGACAAAAGCGACGAGACTGAATGGCCTCCAGCGATGCGGTTGACATGATGCTGTAGAGCCGGTCCGGTCGCCACTGGGGACGAGGCTCTGGGGGTTCCCGAACGCTCGCCGTGGTGGAGTCCGCTCATTCTGTACGACGGTTGGTCGCTGCCCCTCCGAGAATGTTGACCCCGCCGCCGACTAGGTGGTGGGTTGCTCAGTGTCGCACCGGGCTTGAAGAGAACGGGCGGAGATCTGAATCGATGCTGCTGCTGGCTCGGCATCGGGGCGGCCTGCTGCGGATCCGTTGCCTTGCGCTTGTTTCTGGGAGACTCTCCTACTTCGCCTCGACCAGCCAGGGTTAGCTTAAAGCGAATCTCGCTTTCTCTTGCTCTTGTTGGACGCACCAGATGGTGTCGCCGGCTGATTTGAGCTTCCGGCTTGGGAGGTGGGCGGTTGCCAGTGGTGAAAGTAGATGCCAGGACTCTGCTGCTGCTGTTGCGACTCTTGTTGGCCTGATAGTTGCTGGGATGGCGCGTGTCCGCCGTGGACGTGCCCATGCATTGACGACTGCGACTGGCCTGCCGGTGGTGCTCCCGTATTGAGACTAGGCAGGTTGGAGCTGGGGCCGACTGCGCGTCCTGTTGACCCTGTCGAGGACAGAGTCTGCGCTCTGCCTCTCGTCTGTGGCGACCCAGGGTAGGCAGCATAACCGTGAGGACCAGGCGCTGATACTGGGGTCGACGGCACCCCCGTATAGGGACCGTACCCATGCGATTGCGAGTCTCGCCTATGTTCAGGTGACCTTTGACCGCCCTGGGTGGACATGAGTTGAGGATGCGCTCCGTGGCCCTGCGATGCGATGTACTGCTGCGCAATATCTAACGCCGTGGGTGATACAGCTCCCCCCATTCCGGCAAAGACGAGAGGCACAATAGGCGGCGGGATACCGCCTTGGAGCGAAGTTCGCAGCATGTCGGCCTCTATCCTTCGCTGCTCAAGGCGTAATGACTCCTGCTTGGTCCTTTCCTCCTCCTGCTTCCGACGGTCCTCCTCGGCCTTGGCCGTGAGCCAGCTTCTCATGGACTCCTCGGCACCCTGCCACTGCGGGGGTGGACCTGGAAGCTGGCCAAGATGATGTTGGGCATGGGCGGATAACGATGAGATGGATGAGCTCAGACCGGGTTGTGAGGCTGGCGGTAACGGAGGCGGCGGCGGGCCTGATGCGCTGCTGGCGTGAGACTGCTGAGGCGGCAGTGTCATTGCAGCCGGCATCGGCAGCCCGCGGTGCGGTGCGGACATGAGATGCTGGTCCGGAGGGCTGTGGCTGCGAGGGATGGAGGGCAGCCTCTTGCGGGCAGGCTCTTGGTAGGCCAGAGGAGGTGAGAGGCGGGATGTGGAAGGCGGAGTCGGAAGGTCATGGACGGACTTGTAGCCGTAGTGTACTGGCTGCTTGGCTGTGAGCATGGTCATGTATACTTTTGGTGGGTGGTGCGACTATGGCTGGAGCCTCTGGTTGGGCAACATGGGAGGAGAAGCAATTGTCAAGGCAGGGTCGGGCAGTGAGACCGAAACAGAGGGGAAGGGAAGGGAAAAACAAAAAAAAAAAACAAAGGAAGAGATGGTAGCTTAGAAGGGTGAAGGGTAGGGTGGTAGGAATAACCTTTGGAAGTGCAAACCTGGAGAGGAACGACCGGCTCAAGTAAGTAGACGTAGTACGTTGTAATGACAGGATGGGCGGGGCGGATGGTGATGAGCTATCTCCACGAGCAGGCCCAGCCCTTCATCTAGTCATGGGTACAGACGGGTACAGAGTACCGGATGGACACACAGACATGCCTCGAGAGCTCGCCAAGGTCGTAAGGGGATGGCACCCGACGTAGGGACGGGTCGGGGGGGGCTCCAGGTGTAGGTCCAGGACAAGGTGGATCTTCAGGGACGTACACCAGAGGTACCCGGGAATGTGAGCGTAGTGAGGGCAGCGTGCTCAAGCGGTAGCAGTCGTGGGAGTAGTATTAGTAGTGAGTAGTAGCAGCACTGAGGACGAGACTCTGGGGGCGTTGAGGGTGGTGTCCGTTGCCTCTCTAGCCCGGCCGGGGTTGTCGGAGGGGGAGGGGGTGTCGTCCACAGGGAAACCTGGCAGTGAGATGAGAGGCAGGCAAGGCGTGGGAAGCAGACGACGCAGCAGCGAGCCTCCAATGTACCCATGTACCGCTCTGCACAAGAGAGAAGAACCGCTCAGCCCAAGCCGTTGCTTGACAGTTTAGACAAGGACCAAAGGGGAAAGGTCGATGACCGTGTGGAGAAGCCGGACGGCCCTGGTGTATTCCATTGACAACCAGCGCGTATCAGAAGAGATGACTTTGGAGGGGAACGGACACGGGGGTGTGTGTCCAAGCCGGAGGGGGGTGACGGAGGAGAGAAGGGGGGGGCCGGTCTAGGGGTGTGGTGTGTGGCCGTGGCGGGGGCCTCTGCCAGAGTGTGACCAGGTGTGGCGAAGGTCTGAAAGGTTGATTCGAGGATCTAGGATGGGCAGACCTTGAAACTGGCATCTCGAATCTTGCGTCTTTCCTCCCTCTACCTAGGTACCTTGGGGTTAGTCTTCCAGGCAGGAACGGTCATATGAGAGAAAGAGAGGGAGTAAAAAAAAAAACTACCTTTGACTCGGCAGAGCTGGTGAACAATGGTTGTCCGCTGGGTTTCGCCACTATGGCTCGACGAAACGGGGACTTGCGAGTCGCCATTTTTTTTTCCCTTTCCTTGCCTTACTTCTTTGAACAGCCCCAGAAATATCAACCTGGACAGTGGCAGAATGGCACTGGGGCTCTAGAACCTACTCGTAGGGAGCAGCCAATGCAGCCACGTTCGAGGGTACTGTATGTGTTGCTTGGATGTACGGGTATGTGATGTGGAGGCTAAGGCACCTATCCAGTAGTCAGCGCGTCGACTTGCAGGTAGGATGAGCCGGCCTCAAGCCAGCGGCTAGGACCAGGAGCCACAGGTGGTTTAGGTAGGGACGTTGCAGCCCTATCTCATTGACCGGCATCCCCTTGACGACACCTAGCAGCCTATGGTCTGCATTCTCTCGACAGCAGACATGCCGCTGATTGTCAGAGCGGTTGAGAAGACCAAGCAGTACAGATTCTGTCATTCGTGACGGCAATCCCGTGCAGCGAGGGAGGAACTCCATTGAGCCCCTAAGGAGCAGCAGATCGACAACATCGGAATGTTCTAGGTGCGGGACTTGTGTGGAGACTGAGACTCGAGGGCCGATTGACGAGGCACGTTGGCAGGGATCGGGTTTGACTGCAACCTTTTGACCAGAAGTACGAGTTCGTCCAACTGCCACAAACCACCCACATGGACACATGCGCCTCTTGCCCAAACGAAAGCATTGCCGAGTGGTGAGAGGGCGTAACGGCCAGCTTGTACACAACACCATCCTGTCGACGTGCGCGTGCGTCTCTCCGTACCAAGTAAAGTTCCATCCCGGCACGTGAAGCTGGGGCTGCTGTGGCTGATCAGCTTGTCGATTTCTCAGTCTGGCTTCCACCCACGTTGAGATTGAGCACCCCTCCCGGCCCCCTCTATATATATATATATATAGGTGTATACATATATATATATATATATATATATATATATATATATATATATACATATATATATATATATATATATATATATATATATATAGAGATATATATATATATATATATATATATATATATATATATATATATATATATATATATATATATATATATATATATATATATAGATATATATAGATATATATATATATATATATACATATACGGAGATATATAGATACATATATTCAGGTACATCGACAGCTAGTTATATATATATCCAGAGAGAGGTGTAAATAGGTACATATAGATATGCATATATATCCTATAGGGACAAGATATGTATGTAGATATGGCCCCCCCTATCGGTCCTCGCGATATCTAGAGACAGACCGTCCCCCGTCCA